TTCCCTTACTACACCCTGCACCTTCCTTGCAGCCTCTCCAATTCCAGGGGACAGAGAAGCAGTGGTGACATGTAGCCAGTGGTTTGCAGCTGCAGAGGGCAGATGCTACTTCCTTTTTTGCTGCCAAAAACAGCTGCTCTTTTGGCTTCTCAACACGCATGTTCACAGCAAAAGAAGGAGATGACATCTCCCCCTGTAGCAATGAACCTCTGACTGCTACAGTATATGCTGCTACTGCTCCCCAGAGCACATTACTGGCCAGCTACACTTCTGATCATCTGCAGAGGGGGAAACAGAATTACAAAAATGTTGAAATGACTTCCCTAAAGCCACCTAGCAAGCCCGCAGCTGAGCCAGGATTAGAATCCAGGTCTCCTGAGTCAGAGACCAGTGCTCTATCTGTAAAGCATTTAAAGAATGTGTTAAGTGACTCTTAAGTCCAAGGTAAGGAGGCCAGGTGATGTGTTAAAGATAACAAGATAATAAATGAGGTAGAGGAGGTAAATAAATCTGGATAATTTCTTCCCCTAATATAAGCTCAAGCAGATAGTCAGTGAACTTTGAAGGCAGCAGAACCAAGATATATTAAATTCATCTCTATACAGTGCCTGGTTCATTTGGGAAACTCACTGGTTGTCAGGCATCACTGAGGCCACTGGGATGTATAAAAATGATTAGACACATGTGTATGGATAGTGAAAACATCCAAGGCTACATCAGATGGGAGAGAAAATTTACAAAGGATGTAAGGGCTGGGACAAGAGTCCATGCAAGCCTTTGTTAAAGGCCTCTGAGTGAAAATCTCCCAAACCTTGTAACCTCTGCATGAATACAAAGATCACTGTTGAGATTTTCAAGATACCATTATAAATCATATAAATCATTGGCCAGGAAAAACTACAGATATTACATTTATTAGAAGGTGAAAGAAGCATTGATCATGATACAGAAGTGTAAGTATTCAACTCTATTGATAAAATAAAGCAGGTTATAGAAAGAACTTGGCTAGGATGAAAAAATATAGGGCCTCTAAAAGCTAGAAATATACTGAGAGAGAGAAATCTTCTCCAAGCATCATTCCTCATCTACTTGCAATGATGAACTAATGGTTCTGGATGTAATATTCATTGGTCACGTCTACCTGAGATGCTGTCTGCGCAGTTGTTACTGTGCAGTCATTTAGCACCTGTATAAACAACTAGTATATGACTGCACAATAATCTGAGTGACTGCACAGTAGCACCAACGAATGTCTTTTTTGTTATGCTACTGGATAGTAGCCTAATACTACTGTATAGTAGCATCACATCATGGCTGTTGCTATGCAACGCTACTGTGCAGTGGTATCAGGGTACTGAGCAGTCAGCATCTTCTGTAGAGGTGGTTTTAGAAGAGTTAAATTAGTGAGAATGTACATTGTGAGGACATCCATACTCTTTCATACTCTTTCATGTTCAAGTATGAAATTAAGCAATAAGAGGGTCCAAACTGGGGTGTGTATGTTGAGTAGAAGGGTGGAGTTGAGTGTGTTGGTTTGCACAGCATAAAATGTACAAACCAAAAGAGATTATTAAGCTATCAAAAACATATACAGTAAAAAATAAATGCTCTCTGAAAGGCTAAAGAGTTTGTGCCATCCATGTGACAAGAAAATATAGGCCTTAAAAAAAGATTGCCAATGTAGCTAATCCATTTGAACCAGCTAGCAGTGGTAATTCCATCAGTTGGAAGTTAACAGCTTCAAATCAGGGGCTCAAAAGCTGAGAGAAAATATTAGTACACGTCAAAATGTCTATAGAGGACTGGGATGGTGCGGGCACTAAGGTACATGGATGACAGCCCAAAGGTCATCTGGAGACCACAGCAGAAGCACTCATGGTGCAGCTGTCAGATTCCAGCAAATCTGCAAGCTCTGCTAAGTACCTTGTCACAAGGACATGGAAAAGGAAGGGAACTGCCTATGCATCTGCATCTGCACCTGTGGCTAGCCAGCTTCCCTGCTGTATTTTACAGTGAGCTCAAATCAATTCAGAACTGGAGGGGTTTGTGGATGGCAATATGAAAATAATTAACATGATCAGTTCAGGAGTCCCTCTGCTGCTGCTTGCTGCCCAACCTCCTGTTTTGGTGTCATCTGCTAATGCTCTATTCCATCCTCTAGGATATTAAGCAAGATGATGTATGGTGTTGAGACCAAGACAGATTCCAACTTGTTAACTTCTCCTGTTGTGATATGGAGTCACTGATGACTCCTCTTTCAATTCTATCACCAACTAGTTATGCAGTCACTTTTAGCTACTTTCAGCTAGAATTCCTGTCTTTAGTTATTCCATATATTCTACAAGGTCTCCAAATTTTCAACCTAGAGTGGGCTGCACAAAACATCACTGTAGAAAGTGGCTAGGCAGGAATCTGTAGGTTTTGATAATGGCAAGGAGAAAACTGTAGCATTGGGCACTCAGAAGGTATGAGAATGATTTTGGCTGTCATTAGCCAAGAGAGGTCAAAGGTCACAATGGAGAGGGAATGCTTTTTCTCTCTCTCTCTTGCTCTCTCTTTTCTCCCCCTTATTTGCAGAAGAGAAATGTAATTGACTTGATTCACACCCCAGCAACATTTGACAGCATCCAGTCAACCAACGGTCATTACTCACTTTAGTATCTGTGTTATGGAAGTATCAAAAGGTCCCAGCCAAGATTAGGGCACCATTGTGTTTGTTTAATATTTTCATATCCTAAGAGAGCCCTTGCCTCCAAGAACTTATTGAACTGGACAGTCAAGATATTTAAACTGATGTCATTGGTGTCATACTGGTGTAAAAAATTTGCAGATGCAGGAAGCAACTCCCTAAATTGAAGTAAATTTACTTAATCCAGAACAGCATTACCCCAGAAGTAAGCAGCAGTAAAACTCTATTGGAGCAAGTTGCATCCGTTCAGCTTTGTCTGTCTGCATACATCCTGAAACAATTATTTCCTGAAGGCAAACAAGCTATTATCCATTTCCATGCCACTTATTGGTCAGGGACAGTAATAGCCACCTACTGTGTTGAGTTATCCCACAAGAGCGGTGTGCACATTTGTTCCCAATCCCAGTATAATTGCCCTAGGGTTTGTGTACTTTTGTCCCCTAAGGGTGAGATCTGCTAGTACGTTCTTGGTTATCCAAACAGCAATTTTCTTTTTTACTAATTTGTAATAGTTGGCTTTTGTGTAACAAACAAACCTCTTCTTTAAGCTTTATTTAATACAGTACAGTATCTCTGCAGTAACTATTGTCAAGGTATAACAAACTGTTCTCTCACGTATCGTTTTACATTACATATCATGTACTAGCACACATACTTCCTCACAAGATGCTGTGCTTTCTTTTAGCCAAACAGCTTTGTAGCCGATGCTTTCTGAAGGGATTAGGATAAGTGAGGATGTACTGTAACTGCATGTTTCCACTAACACAGACAGCAGAGAAACAATTTATATTCTGAAAGTTTTCTTTACAACAAAAGAATTTAAAAGGTTGGCAGTTGACATTGGAGTAGTGGAATGGCTCTGCAGAAAAAAAAAATCTCTCTCGCTATAAGTAATAGGAAGGAGAGCAGCTTGCTACATATATAAATATATATGCCATGCACATTGCGGTGGCAACCAGATGATAAACTGCAGAACTATGAGATAAAGTGCATTTAGCAAACACCCTTTATTGCCTCGCCGGTCCACTGTCTGCCAATTCATTTCCCACTGAACTACTTCTGGCATTCCAAACACCTGAACAACTTCAAACAGTTGCTCTTAAAAAAACCAAACCAACTCCAAAAAGTAACAACTATGATGGATTTTTTCTTTCCCCACAAATGTTCAGTTTTCACCTCCAAACTACATTGACTCAATTAAAGCATACTCGGTCCTACCTCAGCACTGGGTTTAGCATCTGATCTCTCATGACAGTTCGGGATTGGAAAGAGGAGTTTTAAAGAGGAAAGATCCACAGCTTTCCAATGAATCACACCATGCTCATTTCAAAACCTAAAAAGTTTCAAGGCATAAACCATAAATATATTTTAAGTTCTCTCTTTCTCTCATTCAGAGGACTGCACATTACAGCATTTGTGGCCAGATCCTATTCTACCTGTTAGATGTGTAAGTGGATTAGATATATACGTGTGATCTTCTTCCACCCTTCCTGATTCCCTGAAAAAGCATTAATGCAAGAGGTGAGGTGGTCCTTCTCCCCTTCACTGCTTTCTATGACTTAGTCTTTAGACTAATATGGTGGTGTGTTACTAAAATAAACACATAAATGGTTTTCTTTCAGGGACTTGAGCACAGTAGAATAGCTTTTCACATAAGTCCCTAAATTCACTGCTGCACCTTATGGGTGGAACAGAATCTGTACCACGGTTGCAAGGCAAGCTGCTCTTAGAAGCAGCAAGTTATGAATAATACTTCACAGCCCACATAATACTCCATAATACTTCAGATCCACATAATATTTCTGAATAGGTTTTTTTCCCCATGAAAGACATGGCATCTACAGATCACATGGTGCTACAAAGGGATTATATGCGTACTGGCCTCCATAGCTCAATAGCTCCTTGGATGCTTCTGAGTAATGCAGTCATCCTGACCACCTGCTGATAAAATCTGGTAGCATGCAACATTGTAATATGTTCTCTCTCTCCCAACCTGATTCTGTAACTTTGCAAACCCCAAATCTGGGATACAGCGTGTGGCAAAAAATGATTCCACAGGAAACATCAAATGTGTTGTAGGACTCCAGTAGTATAAATTATTATAATCTGAGGTTAATAATTCCTTATTTGGGGCAATTTGGATGACTGCGCTCATGAACATGAGGACATTTAAGAGAACTGATTTGAAACCAATGGGAGTTTGACCAATGATTCCAATGGGACAAGGCACAGGTGCTCTGTTATGAAAGTAACTTGAGTATTAAAGCATAAGGTAAGCATGGTCCCCTCTCTATAAATATCCTATGGATGTCAGCTGCATCCTTCCAGTAAGCTAGTCTTAGGAAATGAGGCTTGTGTCTGTTGTAGCAGTGCATTTGATGTAGGATATTTGTAAACGACTCTAACAGACTGCCAACGTGGGCTCACCGGATTGGTTTGAGATACTTAACCTGGGCTAGAAACAGTGCTGGTGAACTCTGAGCAACCCCAAGGGTGGAGCAGGGGAGCCCTGCCCTGTGGAAAAGGAGAAGCCAGTCGAAATAAGGGGTTTTCAGTCCCCCCATTTGCATGGAAGGGGGATGGCTGGAGTTGGGGGCCCACCACCCTGAGCCCTGGTTGGTGGGTTTGCAAGACAGGGAGGGACTGCCGGAGGGGATAAAAGCAGAAGCCAAACTGGCGTGTGTGGGGGGGCTGCTGTCAGTGACTCCAGGGAATGGCGCAGGAGGCCTAAGAAGAGCTGGGGAGAGCTGACCCAGCAGAGGGAGCAGACAGACCCCTCTGAAGAGTCTCGAAGGCCCTGGGAGAAGAAGGCAGCAGCAGTCAGCCCTGTCTCCAGCCCTGCAGCAGAGAGGGAGCCGCGGCCAGGGCTTGGGGCAGAGAGCTGGTGCCCCAGGGCCCCATTGCAGTGTGCTGGATGTGCCAGGAGTCCCAGAGGCTAGTGGTGGCAGTCATCCTCCCACTCCACTGCGGAGAAGAAGCAGCAGCCAGGAGCGCAAGCGACATCCTTATCCGGAGCAGGGAGCTGGGCCGGTGAGTTGAGGAAACACCTCACCTTCCCTGGGGAAGCGGGACAGCAGCAGGCAAGGCATTGGACTCCCAAGGAGCAGCAGAGCGCCAGGACAAGGGTCCCTGGGAGCTTGGTGCGCAGGCCGGCGCTCAGAGCAGGACTGGCAAGCTGCGAGGCATGTGGGGTGCCCGGCCAGTCATCTGGAGCAAGGGTTTAGAGCAACAACCCCTGGGAGCTGTCTGTGCTGCTGACCCTCTGCCACTGACTGCCTCAGAGGGGACTCAGTCCTGTCCCTTATTCTGCAGCTGATGGTCATCAGATGGAGTCCCTGAGCTTTGTGCTTGGGTCATGCTGATTGCTGCAGGAGCCTACTCTGTTGCTTGTTGCTTGCCTTTTTGGTTGCCACAGAGGATCACCCTTCGGCCTCTTTGTGGGGTTGGGTTTTGATACAATTTGATTGCTGCAGATGAGAAGAGCTTAACCTGTTGAAGTCTGTCGCTTATTGGGAAGCCTGTTGGAGCTGCAGGGAGTGACCAACTTGTTTCCTTGTGGTAGCATCTCAGCAGTGGCTGAAAGCTGCCAGTTACCCTACCTGTGGTTCTTGAGTCAAGGGTTGACTAATGCATTCTGGTTTGTTTTGTAACTCTGGTTATGCCATTTAAGTTCACTTGTAATTAACCTTTCCTATTATTCTTGTTTTGTAAATAAACTGTAAATAGTTAAATCAGTTAAATGTTAGACCTTCTTGGGACCATGGGCTGCTCTGTGGGGAGCAGGGACCGGCTGGAAAGTAAATTGGTGCTGGCCGGAAGCCCTGTCTCACTCTCATTACACCATCCCTGATATTGGGCAGCGGTGGCAACTATTGGGCTGCCACCCGGGTTACACAACCTTTGATAAAACCAAGAGCTGAGAGTTTGCACTGTAGAATGAGATACTATTTTAATTGCTGGACATTTTAAAAACAAGGCAGGATGTTTTTTCAGAAGCTATACTGTAGATCAGGCAGGAATGAAACTCAGGGTAGTCCTGTGGTCTATAACAGGGATCAGCATCATATGGCCCATGAAGCCATAGAATCCAACCTATGGAGCTGAGGGGAGAGGGGCGGCTTTGCCCATTCTACATCTGGGCAGCTGGGAGGACTGGGCCTGTGCCATGCTGTGGCTGTGCAGTTGGGGGGATTATGCCTGGACAGTGCCTAGGTGATGGGGAGAAGTGGCAGTGGCAGCCATGGTTTGGGTTGGGAACACTACCAAGGACCTGAGCTGGGTTGATCTGTTCCTCTGCTCCAAAAGCTTCCTTACCCCTGGTCTATAGGCTCCAGAAAAATCAGACCGGATAGCCACTGGGGTCTCTCCTGCCTTCCTGATCAGTGATTCTATCACAGAGTGCTTTGGAGTTTACACCCATGGTTTTATTTTTTGTTAACAAGTTTTTCCCTTTCTTTCAACAGATGGACAAGACATTTCAAAATTCCATTTTACGAAAGAAACACATCAGCTCACGCTTAGTCAGACTGAGGTATGTGAAACTGCAGCCAAGACATCCAGATGAAGATGTATCAAAATGTTCACCTGTCCTGGCCTTTCCCACACCCTCAATGCAGCACAAAGTATACAGCTAATATCCAGTCCTAGGCTCCAGTCCTACAATGAACTCTGTTGCTGAAAGACCCCTATTCTATGTGGGGTCTGTTCTAAGACCCCATACTCTAAGACCCCTATTCTATCTGGGAGCAAGGGGATTCTCACACAGATCCTGGTGCTGTGATGGGGTCTGCTTCTCTACTGACAGAACAGCAGTCATTGTTTCCTGGAGTTTCTAAAGGTATTATATGAGTTGCTGGAGGAATGAGAATACTTACACCTCTGAAAACTGATCTTGCCAGCCCAATTCATGATCATTTGATGGTTGAACAAGGCAGGAACATAGGCACAAAAAACCTGATCTGAATTGCTTTGCTTTTTACATCTTCTGGAAGCAGCGTAAGAACTTTTAATTGGGCAGGATTTTAGCAGGAGGGATTACATTTTGGGGCACTGTTTAGGGAGTTTGTTGTTTTACATATACTATTCCGTTTTAATATTTTATCTAATTCTATAATTTAGCTTGTGTTTTATTGTAAGCCGCTTGAGCCTTTTCTGAGGAGGGCAGCGTGTAAGTCTATTCAATCAATACATAAAACAGATGATATGATCTGCTGGAGAAGATTGAGTAAACTTCAGTAAGCCATAACTAGATATAGATCTATGCTGGTGTCTACAACACAGACAAGGCAAGAACATCACAGAGATGTCCTAAAAGAAGACTTAGGGCACAGGCAGAAGTGACAATATTTGCCTGATCTGGCCACAGAAAGTGGCCTATAGCCATAACCAAACAAATGCCTGGCGGCAGACAGCTTCAAAAAATGGCTGATGGGGCAAAAACTGAACCCTCATTGCATGAGGGTTCAAATGAAGAAGTTTCAGAACAGTGTCTTCTGTAACTTGTGTCTGTGCTGTCTCCCAGCCTGTCACTGATTTCAGAATGGGAAGGAGGAAAGGGAGCAGAGGAAGTTCAGTCTGGGGATTTTTCAGCCCTCACTGGAGGGTGGGAAGGGTGTATTGGAGTCCTCCTCCAAGGTGGGGGGGACTCCAATACACCCACTCCACCCTCCAGCACTGGGTGGGGAACTTCTAGAACAAGCACACTCTTCCCTTTCCTCCCTTCCCTTCTGAAAACAGGGACAGGCTGGGAAGGAAGAGGGGCTGTTGATAGGGGAAAATCAGCTGCAGGCTGCACCCACCAGCTAGATTCCCCTCCCACCAGGAACCAGCAGTGAACTTCTGTTTGGTCTGGGGGATCGTTGTAACTCAGAACGCTTCTTGCAAAGCTCTCTCAATTGCAGCAGGGAGCTGCACTTATGTCTGCACCCTTAATCTTTCTTTTGTTATAAAGGGTACTTTGTTTTGACTTTCAGTCAGGGTTGTCACATTTGAAAAAAAACAACCCAGAAATATTGTAGTGGACCCTCAAAATTAAACTTTTTTAATGAAAGTGATTGTTCATCACAAAAAAATTAAGAGCATGGGAACCTACTAGTTGTATGTTTAATATACAGTATGATCATATCACTCTAAATGGAAAACATTGTGATCATTTCATGCACAGTCACCTCTTAGAATTTGTAATGCCTCAGTCAGATTCCACTTTGACATCCCTGTATTCTGCTGCTGCATACTGGGTGTGAGGAGCACAGGCCCATGTGTGACCTGCCTCTGAGCAAACCCATGTGCATGAAGGACAACACAGAGACCACTTAACGCCAACTGGAGATGGAAAAATTGATCACGTTTGAATATTGTCCTACAAATGCAAGCACTCTGACTCTTGTTTTGAGCATGTTTTAGCCACTTTTATAGTTCCCAATAGTGCCTTGTACAAGGGTTGAATTTACTGTACAACTATACATCTGGCAACACTGCTTTAGCATCTCTCTGTAAAGGGCACTTCTGCTAAGCAGCCTATAAACCCAAGTCTTCTCTTTACAGGGGTATAAGTTGTAGCCGTGTTGGTCTAAGGACATAGGCAGACAAGGTTCTTTGAGTAAATCTGATCTCTTATTAGACCAACTCAAATAGTTGGAAAAATTTTTCTTTGCAAGCTTTCAGGTATATATATATATATATCCTTCATCAGGCTGAGGATGATGATGCAGTTGGTATTTGCTCTTCACACACCAACTGCAGATGCTTCCTCAGCCTGATGAAGGATATATATATATATATACCTGAAAGCTTGCAAAAAAGGGTTTTTTCCCCCAACTATCTGAGTTTGTCTAATAAAAGATATCAGTCTTCTCTTCAGCAACTCGCACACAGACAAATCCTTCAGACTAACTAAAGGGACCTTACTTACTGCTGTCAGTGTGTTCCTCTTTCTTCCCCCAATGTTTGTTACTATCCTGCCTCATGTTGTATGTTAATGTAGGTCTCCATCCCAAAAAGCAGGTGAGCACCTGCTTAAATTTAGAGATAAGCATTTGTTCATATGAGAAGGCTGTGTGCTCTGCCATATGTAGCTCTGGTTCTGAATTTCTCTGGCATATATCTGCATATCAGCAGTTCAGAATAAACAATGCATCATAATAATGCCCATTACTTATTAAGAAAGGTGGCTTATGACTGGCTTTGGATCTTTAAGGCACATTTTATAGCAAGTAATTAAAGCTGACTCTGCTTATCAGTGTTGGGAGAGGTGTGCCCACAGGAGCAGATGGTAATTTCCATGCAGTGCAGTACAGGAAGAGCAGGGTGGAGGGGTGGTGAGGGAACACCTCAGAAAATGCGGAGCAACACCCATGATAGTTAATGAGGTGATAATTTGAAGATAAATACAGTCATAATAACCCTGTAGTTGACACCAAAGAAAACAGTCTGCTGGACAGGATACCTGGTTGAGAGTGTAAGCAACTTGGGGCAGGGACTTTGTCTTCCTGTATGGTTGCAAAATGCCTGGCATATTTTAGGTACAACTGCAATATAAATAATAAGTTTCTCCATCACCCTTCACTAGTAGGCAGCAGGGAAACATAGTTGGTTTTGATAAGTGTTTTACTTGGTGCAGATTTTTATCATGGGGTTGATTGCTTCCTATGCTTTGTTGTTTTGCTGTATTCACCCTTTCCATCATTATAAATGGGCAAGCTATTTCTGTAAACACAAGCTCTCTCTTTCCTGTCTGAATCATTCAGTGATGCTAAAGGGCTGGGTTGTGATGTCACAGCTCATCCACAGAATTCTCTGTGGAGAAACTGTGGTATCAGTGAGGTCAGGGAGTGCCATCACTTAACTAATCAGGCAGGAAGAAGAGGTTGGTTGGAAAAGAAATTATCTTTACACAGCCCTATCTTGGCTATTCAGCAACCATGGAAAAGTAAATACAGAAAAAACATGCAAAAATACATGAGTTACCAAACTACATTAGATGTGTGTGTGTGTGTGTGTGTGTGTGTGTGTGTGTGTAGTAGTAGTAGTATTATACTTCTAGCTAGGGCTACTAATCAGTGATCCAGAAGAAGGGAAATAAGTACAGGCAGTCCTCAACTTACAACATTTTGAGTTACAACATTTTGCACTTACAATGTTTATAAATTGACACCCTGTTTCAACTTTATGACATCAGTTTCAACTTACAACACTTGATCCGATTCAACGCCACGCCAGCAAACACGTTCGCTGCATCACCCATCTCCTTGGAGAACATCTGTCCAAACTTCCTTGGACACTTTCTTTATGAAAGCAGACAAGACTCCTGAGAAGACTCCAGCCAAGAACCCTTCAAAAAGTCCAACCAAGAGCCTTTCAAAAAGTCCAGCAAAGTCACCTCAAAGAATTCCTTCCAAATCAATATGATTGCTATTTACAATATATTAATGCAGCTACATTACTCATCTATAATTGATCGAGTACAAAATTCTGGGGTATTTTTGGTGAAAATAGGGTATCAGGCCTTGGTTCAGGAATGAATCCCCCATTGATAACATTGTGTCTTATGAAAAGATTGGTTCCGAGTTACAACGTTTCGACTTAAGATGCAGTTTTCAAGAACCAATTGTGTCCTAAGTCTGAGGACTGTCTGTAATACTAGTGTTTTTATCCGACTCCCTGTTCAGTGGGGAGCATATCTGGGATGTACCAGTAATTTGGGTGAATTCAGCTTTCACTGTTATCGGATGGGAGAGTTACTTTCTAAACTTCACAGGCTTATCCTGTGGGGTATAAAAATTAATTACCCTTATCAGTGAATCAATTTCCATAGCAGCAATATAGATGATTATATTGGATCCAAAATTATCCTCTTCATTCAAAAATCCAGCCACTATATTTGTGTGGTAGTAACATTACACAGGAAAATATTACCGACTCTTTCCCCATTCTTACAAAGAAGATTCCAATACTCACTGCAAATTGTAGAGGTATTGCTGTCTAAGTCATGGATCCAGTTATCCCCTTGTTCTTTTCAATTGTACAAATACACCTTTCTGGATTTGTAGCAAGTGGATCCTTGATGTGTGTGGGAGAGTATCAGTTATTGCTATCAGGTTGGAATTCAACTTCTTTACCTTCCCTCTAGAAATGCTCTAGTCAGCTTCTCATCTTCCCTCTAACTTCCACTCAAGTAATTGCTGGAGATTCCTTCATTTGATACTCCTCAGAGTCCCAATTTTCAAAGCTGGGTGCCTAAAAGTAGGTTATCTGGGCCTGAAGTTTCTGAAGTACTGAGCATCCACCACTCCAATTGTAATCCAAGGCAACTATAGGTGACCAACTCATTTAGGTACCCGAAAACAGAACTAGTGACCTATTTTTAAGCACCCAGAGTCAAAATTGTTGCTTAGGCTACAATCACAGCCTAATTTTCTTGCATGTATCCTTCTCAGCATTCTGGCGCCTGCTTAGGTTTTTCAGCACTTCACTTGTTCTTTATACTCCTTTACATTTGTTTGTAATTAATGGTGAACCTAATGGAAAGCCAGGAGCATAGAAAGAAAGCAACTGATGGCGAATCTCTTACCTCTGTCTTGTTGGTCTGCAGCCCCAGCAATGGTGGAGTGGAGGCACGGGTTGTGTTCACATTCCAGTTCTGCTCGACAGATAACAAAGAAGCACTACGAGAAAAAATTGCCAGTATCTTACAGAGAAACCTGAAAACAACCCCTGGATCTGTGCATATAAAACTTACTCCTCCTATCTCAGGCAAGTGTCATTTCAGTTTTGATTTTTTTTTTAATACTTTGCCAGTATCTGTACTATTATTATTTTTCATTGTAAATGGGGTGTGTTATTTCCACCTTTTATCTGTTTTCAGTGCAACTGAGAGAGAACTTCATCCCCATGCATGTGGTTAGCATAAATCTGTGTGCCACTTAAGCTTTGTAAATAAAGCTTAAGTGGGGCTTCATTATTTTGTATACAAGGGTGGATTTCACCCTTGCTGTACCCTCCTGATAATCCCATCAGATGAGGCAGTGGGCAGCCTCAGTGGGACTTCTAAATTGGAATAGGCAGCAGCAACTTCAGGTTTATTAGCTTTCAGAGCTCTTGTCTCCTGGGCGCAGACAGAAGTGACAGTTCTCACCTGACCTGGCCACAGAAAGCAGTTTATAACTGTGACTAAACACAAATGCATGGCTACAAACAGCTCAAAAATGACTGATTGGGTGAAAATCTGACCCCTCATTGCATAAGGTATCAGATAACGAAGTTATAAAATGCAGCATCTTTGCAACTTGTGTCTGTGAGCCTTGTAAACTTATGAAGCGTAAAAAGTAGGAACTGAACCTGGGTGAACGTTTTTGGTGAACAGCAAATTTGCTGAAAAAATGCAGTTTTGTGGTGGAGATGGGAACACCATAACCATTTGCACATTCAGGTCAAATCTGTCCAATAGTTTTGTCTGAACAAATATTATTAAGTGGCACAACATTTTGTTTCTAACATGTTAAAATAAAGTTTAGGCTTTTTATTTCAATGTGTTTTCATTTAGACATTGATTGGCTTGGTTAGGAATAGGACAAGCTATGAGATGTAGATAACGATAGACCTCGGTATATCCTGGTGGTTTTAACTCCAGGGTCCTCAATCTGCCACAAACAGAAATAAATCATGGTTTTAGGTAGTACCTAGGCTGCAAGTGTCTACTGCTCTATTCATTACATGACCAGAACTGCATCACTGCTGGCAGTTAAACCTCGTGTATCCCCTAAAGGCCCTCCCTTTCAGTTAACTTCAATGAGGTTCCACTGATTTATACTCGCTTAGATCTCATCCTCTACTTTGGGGGCAGATGCTCATTATGAAGCATGTTTCCATCTGTTTTGAATGTAGCAGCATTATAATTTTGACAAAGGAGTAACAAGCAGGGTTTGCACCCTGGGCAAACTCTGTGGGAAACTTGGGGTGTGGTGGTGGGCAGGTGCCACTGAGTGCCAGAGAGGCAGGGGTTCCAAGAGCCAGCAGGGAGCACAGGAGTCTTACCTAGGCTGGGGACTCAAAAATAGTCCTCAGTTGCTACTGCTGCTGCCACTAGAGCTGCAGCATAGTCTGCCCATCCTGGCTGTCACTCCTACAACAGTAGCACGGTGTTCATGCACCTGGCTGCAGCAGCAAGAGCAACACTGTGGGGCTGCTTTTGCTGCTGGGGCACAAACACCATGGGCATGAGGAGCAATTCTGGTACCCACTCCTAAGTTGGTGCCCAGGGCTAGTGCCCTGCTTGCCCATCCCCATTTATTCTGCTGAATTTTGATGCAATTAATGTTACAGAATAGTCCATTTAAGGATAGTTTCTTGCCTCTTCTCACTCCCTCTGTGTTGCTGCCCAATTAGGGAATTATAAAACAGACATAAAGGATTTAAGTTTGAGAGTGCAATCCTATTCCATCTTGCTCAACTCCTTGAAAAGCTTAATGTCCCTGGATCTTCCTTGATCCTCATGCTTTTCACAACTTACACCTTAAGGAGAAGATGAAGCGTTCCCTTCATCTAGATGCTCTAATGATTTTTCAGAGATTTGAGCAAGGTGGAACAGCATCACACTTAGTGCCACTTAGACACCTCAGTGGAAGAATACAATCTGGCCTTTGGGCTTTTGATGTGAATTTTGTTGCACTTTATTTACTCTATTTGGGGGAAGAATGGGGGCAGGGGTTAAACTGCTTCAGGATGAATTACTGGACACAAGAAGAGCTTAATACATCTGTTGTTTAGCATTCCTGGCATGCACACCCAAAGTTCTCCTTGAGATGATACAGTCCCAATTGATGCGTTGTATTACTCTGTTTTTCCTTACCAGTGTCTTTTAGACTGTGGCAAGTAAGTGAAGGACAGGTGGCTATGCTGGAATAATGCTAATAATGGCACTGAGTCAGAGCTCATGCTTGTTGGATTCAGGGTCAAACGACCATAGTTTGTCTCTTCTTCCTTCTCCCAGCTCTCACAATAGATGGACTGTCTAGCAGGAGTTGCATAAGGCATGAATATAAGCTGACACCTGTCAAGTACTTCCTCAGAAACAAGCCAGTTTTCATAGTTGAAATCACACCACTTGTTTGGAATCTTGACCGATTACACCTCCACAATGGAGCAAGAATGTCATGTCTTTGTATTGTTCTTATTCCAGTTAGGCCATTGCAGAAGTCACGGGTGAACAAATAACAAGAGGCCTCTGATTTAGAGAGCTCACACGACTATTTCAACCATATGTAGCAGGTGAACAATATGACAAATTGTGGTGGCAAGGGAGGAAAAAGGGCCAAGTAATAGGGGAGAGATGTGCCTTTCCATTAGGTGGGAATCAGTCGTCTCAAGCAGCTGCCAGTTTGTTGAGTGGCAGACTGAAATTATTTCTAGGTCAAGTAGAAACAGACTGGTTCTAAGAAGGGATTTCCAAGGACAAGAGATGGATTTGTGAGATGGATTTGTGAATTTGGATAGATTTCAATTCCCTCCAAACTATAGGAGGGGACTATAACATCCTGTTACAGTTGTCTGCCCAACTGCTTAAATTCAGAATCTGGTAAGTGATGGGAGTTAAATAAAGTCATTTAATCTAACTGACACACACACATTGTGCCCAAGCAGTCGAGTTTTAAAATAGTTTCTAGTTGGTAACTAACTAATTATGTGGAATTAGATCATGCATTAAATATTCAGATTCAATAAAAGACATCTTCTCGAAAGATGCATTCTAAAGTTATCCAATTACTCCAAAAGCCAAAAACAAAATACTATAGGTCAACTTTGTTACTTTTCTTAAATATTCTAGTCTGCATTTAAAGTGGTGGCCATAGGATAGTTCTAGTACTCGGGGCAGGAATATTCTTGTGCAATTTCTTGTGCGGGGGGACTACCGCTGCTGCTGGCCTGCTGAGCAATCCTTGCAAAGCCAGCGGATCACAGCGCTTCAGGGAGCCCACCCCTGCCCCAGCCCTGGTAAAATCTGTGGGCAAGGAAGGAGCCCCCCAGGGGGCACTTGCCTGCCTGTACACTAATGCCAGGAGCTTGGGGAATAAGCAGGAGGAGCTCATCCTCCTGCTCAGTGCAAACAATTACGATGTCATAGGGATAACGGAGACCTGGCGGGACTTCACCCATGACTGGACCATGGGTATAGATGGCTATACCCTGTACAGGAGGGATCGTGTAGAGAAAAGGGGCGGGGGGGTAGCTCTCTATGTTAAGGAAAGCTACACATCCCTGTAAGCCGATATTGGCGACCAGGGTGGATGGCTGGAGACCCTCTGGGTTAAAATCCGTGGGGAACACGGCACAGGGGACACAATGGTGGGAGTCTATTACAGACCTCCCACCCAAAGTCCTGAGCTTGACCAGGAGTTTGCCCAGGAACTGGCTGAGGCAGCTTGCTCCAGGACCATGGTTGTCATGGGTGACTTCAATTACCCAGACATCTCATGGGAGGATCGCTCAGCAAAATCTGAGCGGTCGCAAAGCTTCCTCTCGTTGCGTGGATGACCTCTTCCTGACTCAAGAAGTCTATGGGCCAACAAGAGGCAAAGCGCTGCTCGACCTGGTACTGGCTACTGGGGATGACCTAGTCGG